TAGAAATTATCCTATTGTTATAATTTGAATGTCTGAGCACTATGCTGAACACAAGAGTGCGTAAACACAATTGAATTGAATTTTTAATTACCAGTCGCTTAAAATCCTGTGCTTCACAACAATAGGATAAATTTCTATAGAGGGTACTTTTTTTTGGGACACCCTGTATATATCCTTTAGCAGTATGCAAATAGTCCAGTCAATCTGTGACCAGAGGTCAAATAAATTGCAATAGAATTTTTTTCAGTGGTAAAATGTGAGGGAAGGTGTCCTGATTAACATACTAAAAGTCCCCAAAAATCCCTTCGGTGGAACATGTTGAAAATCGAGTTTTTCTTACTTCTGCCTATAGAAAACCATTGTGGACAGAATGTTGAAATTTTGAAATATTTTTTAGGCAAATGTAACCTACATTATTGGAAAGCTTAGAAAAAACTAAAATATAGATCATTAAACGGTTATATTCAATTTACTGGTCAGTTTGTCGTTATTCTAGCTCAAAGTTGGAAAAATATTTCCACAAAATACAAATTTATGGCATTTTAAATCTTGTATAACTTCGGCTGGATAGGCAAAAGTAAGATAACCGCTTAATGATCTATATTTTAGTTTTTTCGAAGCTTTCCAATAATCTGGGTTACATTTGCCTGAAAATGATTTCAAAATTTCAACATTCTGTCCACAATGGTTTTCTATAGGCAGAAGTAAGAAAAACTCGATTTTCACCATGTTCCACCGAAGGGATTTTTTTTTATTTTTAGTATGATAATCAGAACAAATTTTCTCACACTTTACCACTGAAAACAAATCTATTGCGATTACTTTGATCAGGAACATTTACTTATAGTGATTTGACTGGACTAAAATAGCTTTCTGCTACTTCAATTCAGTTGATAATTTTCCCTCTTGAAGTCACTTACATTTAACGTATCTATCCCAATAATGACTACAACCAGTGTTCTCCCGGTTACAAAATACCAAGGATTTTTCATCACCCCGACATTTCACATTTTTTAACGAAATCTTTCCAACGGCGCGCGGAGTCTTCCAACGACTTTGGTGTAACACGTCGTGAAAACCAAGTTCCCAGCACGCTACTCGGGCACTCGTCTCAAAGGATTCTTCGTTGTTACGACATACTGTCCCCCAGGACCCTCGGTGATAGACTTCAATACGACCTTCAAGGGGAATAGATAAACCACGAAGACGAATATATGGTTGGCCTATATAAAAATAAAGATCGTGTCATCGTAGTGTTTCACAATAAGGAGCTTTAGCAGCGAGTACGAGTACGAGTACGATGTTAAGAGTACGATGTTACGTACAAAAAAAATGAAAAATTAAAGGAAAGCAAATTAATTTGAAGACCTAACTGAAATAACTGAACAATTTGAACTTATTTTGTTTTATTAATTAAGTAAAAACAGTTTATCGGCAAAATGAGTTTAGTTGAGAATGAACATATCAAAACATTTTACGGAACGTTTCAAATGAAATTTTACATTAATATTAAATCAGAGCTCACAAAATGCAAAATAATAAAACTGCAGTACATATTTCAGAAACTCATTGTTGTTTAGTTAAAAGTATGGTAGTCTTTTTAAACTATTTTTCCGTTTTGTACCAAAATCTAAAAAAATAAAAATTTAAAAATAGTGTGTTGTCATGGCAACAAATAATGCGACGACGCGAGCCTGCGTTGTGTATTGGCCAATTATGAATATTTCATGTTAAATCAATGTTTGGAAAATATAGGCGAGGAATTACGGCGTGCATGTATTTCTAGTACTATAGCAATAAACAAACAACGAAAGAAAAGTTTCTATAAACATATTTGTTTCTATAAACATATTTGTTTGTCTTGTATCTGAAGGCAACCAAATAGAATTAGGAGATTTAGCTTGATTCTTTATCATGCAGCCAGCATTATTGGAACCCTTTTATAATTTTTCTAAAATAAACAAACATGGAGATACATACATGTAACACCAATAGCATTCTGTTTCTCACACGTTGTGTCGCTACCTATTGCCTGAGGACAAAGTTGCAAGGAACCTTCGGTCCCAGCGCATTTGTATCTTCTCTCCACGGTCCTTCCTCCAGATGAACTCCCGATGTTTCCAAAATAAGAGCTATTCCACTGTTCAACATTAACTCCGGGGTATCCAAGTTGTATACAGGAGACAGTCGCATCTTTACTGGACCACATGGGATCACAGAATGTAGCACCATCATGAAACAAGTGTCCTTGGTAGGGAAGATTTGAACCAATCAAATGAAGTTCAGTGAGACTTTGGTTGCCTGAAATGGAATGTTGATGTTTTAGTCAATTGTTACTGACCGATCGATGAACCAACTGACTACCTATCGGACCTGGCCGGCAGCAGACCTGGAAAAAAGGTAGAATCTTGGAATCTGAAGAACATTTGCCCTAGCGTCTTGATTGAGGAATATTTTACACAATTTACTCTGCTTTCGCCAGGACGTGCTTGTTGTGTCTGGAAATGGAACTTTTGACATATTCCATGCAGCTGTAGCTGACTTTGATGGAGGTACGGTTAAAAATCTTCCGAGGAAGGTTTGCTTTCGGAAAGTGCTTATCAATTAATCGTAGAAATTCCCGGGCAATGTTTGAACATACATTTTTACTAAAAGGAGGGTAAACCAGATGATGTTTCTTGGTCTTTCCGTTTTTAAGTAGCAGTTGTTGGGAGGTTATCGGGAGAATATTCAAGCTTACAGTTGTAATTACTTTTATGCAGAGCTGCTTCATATACGTTGGCCACGGAATAAAAGGCTAGTTTACTTATGACAGAGACGAGATTCCTCGGTTAATCGATGCCAGTAGTTGTTTAGTAATGGAGGGAGGGTGATTTGAGTTTTTGTCTATGTACAACGGATCATTGTCCAGTTTCCTATATGGCGAGTAACTCCCGTCTTTCAGATTAAAGGTTACATTGAGGAAGTTTACCAGTTGATGGTTTACTTCAGCTGTAATTTGATTCTTAACTGATTCTCCACATACCTAAGACACCAGCACCATAAACTTCGACTTCACACAATGTTAGTATTTTGTTTTCACCTGGAATAACAACCGTCACATATCGACCAACCACAGCCGGCTTACACGAGACTATACCCTCCTACGAAAAAAAAACTATTATCGCAAGAACTTTAAATGTAGTAACTTGCATTCTTCAAAACGAATAAGAAACTGAATTATAATGGAACCATGTTGCATCCTAGAGTTTTTCCAAAACAGTCAACTGTTTTGCTTAGTAATTGGGGATGTTAAAGTTTTGTAAAACTCCATGAATTCCAAAACAAAAGTTTAACATGTACTCTCCACATTGCTAGCCCGACAGTGAGTTAATCATGGCCAGAAATCACGGAAATGATTTATTATACCTAGTTCTTTCGTAATTTGCATAGCTATCACAAGTGCTTACATTTAGTTTTCAAAACTGACAATCAAATGCCAAATATTTTCATTGAGCTAGTTAGAGAAAATGATCAAATAAAAAACAATTAGTAGTGACTCAAATTTGACGTATTAAGCTGTTATTATTTTTTCCGGTCCGTAATACTAGGTCCGTAACGTCAATGGAGTCTTCTGATTGGTTGACGAGAACACGATACGGACCTCTCGCACACGTTACGGACATAGGTTACGGACCTCTCACGTTTCGCGCCAAAACAAACCGAAGAGTGAAGACAATTTTCAAACTAAAAAAAATAAATTCCAAAAGCTGAAAAGCTCTCCCTATCGATACTAAAGACAGAAAAATAAGCTGAACAGACCTCAATGGATTTAGTGTGAAGCCCGAAATGTACTTTTTTCGACATAAATCCGAAAAAACATGCAAGTATTTTCTTGACACAGAAGTATCGAATGTTTAATGCCAAAAGATCAGCATATATTCAGCTATATTTCGAAAAATGTCGTTAAAATATAAATACGGGTCAGAGGTGTAGCCAGGATTTTTGGTCAGGGGAGGGGAGCAGCAAAAACCCAGGTGGGGCCAAGCCGCCAGTGACCATTGAATTATAAATAACTGTAAATAACTGGTTATTTATAGTCCAATGCCAGTGACTCGAGTCGGAGACGCAATGTTCGCGCATGCAAGAAAACATTTTCGGGACCACAACATTTAAATCTCTCGTCCTCCCCCCCCCGCCCCCCGTCGACAACTTTTTCGGTAAAAATTTTTCCGGACAAAAACATTAAAATTGCTTTCGTAGCACTTTTCCCGATTTCCGTATCACTTTTTCCGATGCTTCACCACGAAGATTCCGACAACACTGGTCTCAATTTTCCGACGGGTCTCCCCCTCCCCGGCCACGGCGCTTCCGCCGAGCCCGCGTTAAAAATTCACTGGTAAAAAAACAGATTGGTTTAAACTTCATCTAACCCTCATTTAATACATATTGAAATAATTAGGGTTAGAAAAGGTATGTGTTTCAAACTGTCCGCCGCAAATAAGCGAACAAGATTTTAGGTTTCACACCGATGCGCAGCAAAGCATATATTCTACAGAATTTTTGCATTATTGACAGCATGAAGCTGTATAATCAAGGATTGTCTTTTTTATACAATACATTTTATCAGGGGGCTCAAAATTTTGCCAGGGGGGGCGCCCCCCGGCCCCAGCCCTGGCTACGTCTCTGATACGGGTACGAAGGACTTGTCCTCGAACATAAAATAAAAAAACCCCTTTAAAATAGCAGTTTAAAACATGATTTCTAAACTTATTTCAGTCATATATTTTTATAAATGTTGTCATGAACCTCGTCATGAACACAATGTTTTCGGAAAGTACAATTTGTTGCTGCTAAAATGATTAAGAAAATAAATAGTTTTAATCGCTTTACCTTTTTATTGGCTTTGTTGAGTAGAAAAGGCTTTTAATGGTGTCGTTTTAGCAAGATGTCAGCCATCACAACTGATCTCAAAACTAGTTTACAAGACTGGAGTTGTTAGGAATTTAATTAAGCATCGAGCTTAATTAAGAAATTTAATTAAGGAACTTAATTAAGCATCGATATTAAGCATTAAGCTCGGTCTCAGAAGCGTCCCTCGACCCTCGGTCTCGGTCCGCTTCTGAGACCTCGGGAAAATATTTTTCAGTATGGATCTCCAAGCCGGTAAATAACACATTAAAAATATTTAACTACAAGTGAATATAACAAAACTGAAATTTACAAAATGGTGGCTGTAACCGTTTTGTGGAAGTTTAATACTGATAAAGGAATAATTAAGCGAAATTAAAATAAATTTAGTCACAAACGACTTGTGTAAAAATACTAAAACAGTTATTCGGCCAACAATTGTTAAATATTACACGATGCTGTAAATCGCAAAATCAGTACTGATAATGTAGGTCGTTTGCAATTTGCCTCAATTGCTGGTTGCAGAGCGTCTGTAGAAATATTTAGTACATAATAATGTTTGCCTGGTTTAAGTTTCTGCTTTAAATTTTCATTTGTACTACTATAGCAGCAGTGCGGTATTCTTATGTATATAGAATAGAGTTAAATAGACGAATGTCGTAAAAACTAACCTCTGTACAAATATTGAAAAAATACAGAATTTAATAGGTAGTAATTGAAATCAGGCCCACATTACACTAAATACTTCCACAGACTTTGTTTTGCAGCCAACGATTGAGGCAAGTTGCAAAGAACCTATACTCAAATGTTATAATTGACAACGTCGTGTTATATAATTCATTAGAGACCTTACGATTTTAGCATTTTTAGGACGGCAACGCGACGGCGATAGCCAAAAAAACTCCTTCAAATAAATGGTAGTAAAGATAGTTCGTGGTATATTATCAATCGTATGAATTTAATACAGTTTTAGAAGTTGAAGACATGGGTTTTATGGTTGGGAAGAGTTCTGCTAAACCCAGTT